GGGAGCATTTCCACCAGGGTGGTGAGCTGTGACCCACCCATTCCAGGTCAGCTGGAAAGGCCTGCGGGGAAGGTGGCTCAAGGCGGGGCCCAGACTCTCCCTTCTTCCAGCTCTTCAGCAACAGCACGCCAGAATCCCAGGGCCAAGGCAATAGGTCCTGGGCGCAAGCTTTCCCCCACCCAGCTTGGCACTGCGGACCCATATGGCACCTGAACGCTGGGCCGCTGCAACCCCCTCAGCCATCGCCAGGCCTATCCCCCGTAGTCTCCTCAACTCAGTGGATGCAAGAAGAAAAATAAAATGCATCCAAACTGGAAAGGGAGCAGTAAAACTCCACAAAGCAGACAAACACAGCAGCCACCTGTCAGGACTAAGGCAGGAACTTAGGACGGAAGTCTGATCACAATGGGCCTCTACCAGACCCCCCAGCATGCAGGCAGCGTCCCCATCGCCGGCTGGTACACCCAGTAATGAAGCCAAAGCACAGCTCATGTGGGACACCAGGAGCAGGAGTTCCTGTCCTCGGTGACTCTGCGAGGTGGCTGCGGGGACCACACAGGGTGTAAGTGCCAGTCACTGGAGGGACTCGCCCAGGACCTCTCATGCCGCCCACTGTGCCCATCTGCATGCCACCGCCTTTAATGAATCAAACACAACTTTAAGGACTGAAAACATTTGCTCATCCTGGGAAATCCCTGCCTGCTCCTAACGACCCTAAGGTCGATCAAGGTCAGCCAGGAGGTCATGCCAAGGCGTAGCAGGTTCACGGGACCTGGGCCGAGGGGACAAAGGAAGGACCCAGATGTGACTCAGTCCAGGGCTGCACAACACTGACAAGCGCTGAGGAACGTGGGATTCTCAGAAAAAGGGGAAATGTGGATCGGCTGCAGACAAGTGCGGGGAGGAAAACGGGCCTGAGGCAGCTTTGAACAGGAAAGGCTAAGCATGAGGACCGGCCGCAAAATCATAGAGTCAGTGGTTCTGAGCTTCTCACCTTCTGCACTGGAGGTCAGGCCTTCTGGCTCTGAAGCTGAACTCGTGTGCGTGCATGCATGCCTATGTGTGATTTTCAGTTTCAGTGTCCACCTTAACGATCTTCACATACAGGCAAAATTAAGGTTTGAACTGAATTTTCAGATTTAACAAAATAATTTTCCGAACTCTCGGAAAATAAAAACTCTATAAAGTAAGTCTTTAAAATGTAACGTCTTTACCATCCAGTAGAGGAATTTGGATTCCTTGGTTTTGACATTTTCTAACAAGTCTTGGCCAGAAAATATGTTGGCACATTGGGTTAGAGACACTTTATTTATTTATTTTTTTTATAACTGAGTCATCCTGCCACCTGTTGGCAGCTCAGCTCGGGCGGGACTCAAACCGCTGTTGCTCAGAGCTCACACTCTTGAGCGAGCTCTTAACCAACTGAGCCACTCAGCCAGCCCTTAGAGACACTTTAAAAAAAGTCCTATATGTACAATGGAGATCAATAAAAAATTGATCAATCAAAAATGAAAACATATACAAATATCCTATGGAAAGTTGTACCCAAACATTCATAGCAGCACTACGCACAATAGTCAAAAAATGCAAACCGAAACACCCATCGCTGAATAAAGGAGAAATAAAATAAGGTCTGTGTACACAGTTGATCCAGTAGAAAGGGTGAGGCGCTCACACGCTACAACACGGACGAACCTCGAACACATTGTGGCAATGGGCCCTAGACAAAGACCTTCCCAGACCATGTGGTCACCAAGGATTTTGCGCGGGCTTCGGACAAAGACATTCCTGGACTGTATGGTCATCAAGACTTCCCCGGGTAATATTTCCAAATTCCTACCTCACCCGTGAACCAGTCAGGAACTGGCACAATGGCCACATGTCCTAATA